CTCCCCGCGCGCGGCGTCCCCGCCTTTGTCTGCCCCCCTTCCGACCCTGCGCTCAGTTTCCGCGCAGCCCCGCGGTGGGACCGGCCGCCGGGGTCCCCCGCTTCCCCGCCCCGGAGCCGTGCGCGGGAGACGGCCTCAGGAGGCTGAGCGCGGGCCGCTAGGCGCCGCCAAGCACAGGTCGAGGCGGCTGGCATCGTGGGAGACCGCGCCTGGTGCGGCCCCTGCGGTGAAGGGGGGCCAGAGGTGTGGCAGGGTTTTTCGTTGCCTCCGTTTCCCCTGCTGGACTCGAGGGCGCAGTCGCCGGCCGTCCTCGCTTGGCGCCATAAGGATCTCAGCGCTCCCCTCGCATTCTCCCACGGGCGGCAGATTCCCCCGCCGCCAGCGGCCGCCCTGCACAACGCAGCAGCGTGGGGCGAGAGGCCGGGCCTGCCCTCTGGACGCTTTCATGTTGGACAGCGCGCGGCGCCCTTCAGTGTCCTGTGGACAGAGGGCACCCAGGCTCCTAAGATCTGACGCCCTAAGGCGTTTCTTTAGCCAGACCTAAAAGAAATCGGTACCCCAACCTCCACTTTGCTGCTGAGGCTCGCGTCCCCTTCAGGGAAAGAGGGCTCCATCCTTCACAGGGAACAAGTACCAGGGCGCCAAACCTCATTGGGCCCAGAGAAGGGAAAGCCCAGGGGGCAAAGCTGAGCACTGGCAGCAGAGCTAGGGGCACAAGGGTCAGGAAGCCAGGTGCCCTGCGCCCCGCTTTTGCTCCCTGCCACTTGGCCTAATGTGCTGGGAAAACCTAGGCTTTGACCTTTTGGTCAGAGCTCCACGTGGCGGGGACCAGCCACTGCTTGGCTTTGCCTAAAATCAAGCTTGAAGCTGTCTCACGAAGCACAGCCCTAAATATAGCCTGTTCCCACACTGTGGCAGGAATAGAACTGGTGGCTCCAGAGCCACAGCCCACACACGTCAGTGAGCAGCTTGCTCAGTGGTTCCAGAGCCCGGCAGGGGAGGGGAGAGGCGCCTGCCTTCCCAGCCCCCAGCCACTTCGGCTTACTGCGTTGTCTTCTGCCTAGTGCTTCTCTAGAAGATTCCGGATTTGTCTCAGCTGTAGGCCTGAGGACTTCCTGCATGGAGTGTGAGAACTGTTTAAAATCGTGTGTGCATTTTTTCCAGCCCTGTGACTAGGTTCTCAAAAGGCGTTGTTGATAGAAGAAATCTGGCCCAGGGGCCAGAACAGGGTGAGGCTGGGGGCTGGTGCTGCAGGCCCAAGCCCAGGACCCCTGGGTGCTGAACTGCTTCCACAGGAGCCATTTGGGTGTTGAGGATGAGCTGACAGCATGATAAAGGCTGCAGCAGGGAAGGAAGGAAAATAGGCTGATGGGATGATAAGAAAAAGGGAACTTGAAATTTGAAAACAAAAAATGAACTAGGCTGGAGGAAGGAGAGAGGGTGGAAAGAAATGTGAGCCAGCCTTCTCACCCATGGCCACCCTGACCCTGTAGTTACTATCATTCCCTTCCCCACAGACCCTAGACCTACCCACAGGAAAAGGGTTTTTTGGTTGCTTTTGTTTTTCATCTGGGGTTCAAATTTGAGAGGAGAGAGAGGTCACTAGAAGGTTTTAAAGTCATTTTAGGGAAGAGGGAGAGGTAGGTACTTCCTTAATCTGAGTTAAAAGGGAGAGTGTTGCACCAGTTGAAGGAGGGGAGTGCCAAACTGGTGACAGCCCAGAGGCCTCACAGAGGAAGAGGAGCTGTCTGGCCTCAGCACCTGAACACCTCCCCATAGAGGCTCTGGGGCCATGGGAGGGGCGGCAGGGGTGCAGGTGAGATCTGGTTACCTGCTCCTGGTTATTAGGACCGTAAGGAGACACCACTAGTCAGGTTACGAAGCCAAAGGTGTCTTCTGTCTGGTCTCTAGCCCTTTCAGCCCAAGGTGGCTTGATGGCCACGGGCCATTTGTGAACTCAAATTTTTAGCTAATTAAGACACAAATCTGTTGTGGAGCTTAAGAATCTGGCTTGTGAGTCTATCTAATGAAGGCAAGCACTCTGCGTTTCTGAGACCAGGGGGAGAGGGCAGAGCCCCAGCTGGTGCATGCTCTCTGCCTGCACACAGTCCCAGGCTGTGCACCACACCCCCCACACCCACGCAGTGAGCAGCACTGCCACTCTTCCAAGGCCTCGCTGAAAAGTTTAATTTGTTTTGACAATGAACCTAACACAGCATAAGGCCTCATGACCCAAGCTAAACAAGAGGAGACAGCCCCAGGAGAAAGCACCAAGGCAACTGGCAGGAGGCATCAGGATGCATTTTTGGTGGAAATGAAGAATTCTCTGCTGTATGAATGACGGGATTTTAGGTGTCATGTGTCATGTCCTGAGGGGGACAGAAGGAGAAGACCCCACAGCCCCAGCCTGAACATACTGCTTGAAAGGGAGAAATACCCTTCCCTTCCACTGTTACGGAGGTATCTGAGATGAAGGGACAAGCTGCACAGGAAAGAAAACGATGCTGATGGGAGCACAAGAGATGGACAAGAGCAGCACATGGTGCCCTGGGCCAAAGACCCAAAGCCTGGCTGGCACGTCAGTCCCCAGGACCACAGCAACACCATCTCTTCCTTCAGAAGCACTCATCTGAGCTCACACGGGGAATGGTGGTGTCTTGTTCTATCCCCAACAACCCGCTGTTCCCTTATGTCTCGAAAGCCTTGGAGAAATGAAGCAAAGTCTCTCTCCAGGAATTTCCTTCCCATTCAGAAAGCAGCCAACTCTCCTGGCAAATATGTCTGTTCTACCCAGTCTGTATCCAGGAGTGTGGGAATGGGGCCAGCCCTCAGGACAGCAGGCCTGCGACGCTCCAGAGTCCCAGCTCAACAGTGTACAAAGTCCAGAGGCTCAGAACTCCCAGTCGTCCACCTCCAGTTCTTCTAGGTTTGCTACCAGGCCAAAGATTCCACTGTGGTCCTGAGCCTGGCTGCTTTCAAAATTGGTGATGGGGGTGACAGGACGAAGTAACTCAGGCAATGCCTCTGAAGCACGTCGCTTGATCTGAGGGAGGAGAGAGAGTTGGGTCAGGGATCCTGTGGCTTTGGGCTTCAGGACACCACAGAACAAGGAATTGTGGCCTGGTGACAGAGGGGCTGTTGGAGCCAAGAATCTCTATGAAGGAAGAGCATCACCTTTAAGGGGCTTCAGAAATAGAGTAATTTTGTGCATTGCAAAGTTGGACTGGGGCAGGGGGCACAGAGGGAAGGAGAGGGAAGAAAATGTGCAACAAGGAATGAATATGAAGAAGAAAAAGAGTCATTTTTCCAGTTCAAGGGGAAGACCTCAGCTAAAGGAACTGTGGGTACTAAGAACCTCAGGCAGGGGAAAAAACTCCAAACCAACCAGGAAGTGAGAGAAAGTGCTACTGTACCTGCTTAAAGAAAGAATGGTTCAGGAGGGTGCTGGCGCTTGGCCTGCGGGGAGAGAGAGAGATCAGGCCTGTACCCCCGCACCCCCAAACCCTGCTGCTTATGCTTCTTCAAGTGCCCCTCACTTCCCTCAGCTCAGAGCCACTCATTCTGGCTCCTTGTGCAGATCTCATGCTGGGGGGGCTGTGGTCACTCAAGGGGCGGGGAGGGGGCCCTCACAGGACAAGTACACCTCTCTGAGTCAGCCCGCCCCCACCTCACAGAAATACCTTACGTCCGGGTTGCGCTGAAGGCACTGCTCCACGAAGTGGTGGAAGTAGGGTGAGAAGGTGCGGTGATAGGGGTGGGAGGGCGAGTCCCCATTGGAGGTCCTGGGGGTGCTGGGGGCCAGGCTCTCACTCAGGCCTGAGTTGGCTCCCGAGCGTGAGGTGCTCATGGTCAACTCCTCGGCGGGGATGGTGCTGGTGTCCAGCAGGCAGGGCACAGTGCCATTCAGCTTCTCCAGCAGCATCTGGGGAGGGCAGAGCCAGGACCTGGGCTGGAGCTGAGCTCCCAGGAGGCCTACAGCGCTGCCTCACAAACATAATTTCCCCAGCATACAAACAGATCTCTCGGGAGTAGAGAGAAGATGACATAGAAGCAATCTAATTCTTGGGTTGGTCACTGGCTTGGCAGCTACACCCCAACCAAACTGAAAAGCAGAGGGGGAATGAAAAAACATGCCCCTTACTGTGGCTAAAAGGGCTCATGGTTTCTTTCTTCCCTTTAAGACATCACCCATGCCTTCTCCTCTTTTTTAATTGCAATTTGAGTGAAAGGTTACAAAGCTAATTGGTCTCCAACCATTCACTTACATTATGTTATGACATTAATTCCAGTGCACACTCTTCCCACCTCCTCCCTGTAATTCTCATTTCCATTAATCTTTCTAGCCTCTCCCTTCCTGCCTTCTGAGCTTTATCCTGGGACAAATGCTGCCCTTTTGATGTTACGTGCCTCCCTGATGTTGTTCATCTTACAGGCCTGTCTACTGTTTAGCTGACAGTGGAGACACAGGGTGAGTTCTGCTTCAGGTTCAAAGGTAACTAAAGGCCAAATAGTCTTGGGGGTTCTACCACTCTATTAGACAATGAAGCCTGGCTCATTATTATGGTTTTGAGTTTCGTGTCATTTATGAGCCCATTATGTCCATGACTTTCCTTGTGATTCCTTCTGGAGTGGTTGGCAGACATAGTGGGCGCCATCTAGTTCTTCTGGTCTTGGTGTCGGGGCTGTTGAGGTTGGCGTGGTCTCTTAGCCCTTTCCTCTTTTTTGTTACAGATAGGGAGAGACCAGGAGTTGCACCTCACAAGCTTTTAAGACCCCAGTTGCTAATTAGACCAAGGTAGGCTGCAATACACTGGCTTTGTGGACTGTTGTTAGGTGCTGCTGAGTTGAGTACGATCCAACCCTGTCCTATCCTGTGCCATCCTCACAATTCCTGACACATGAGAGTCTACTGCAGCAGTCACTGTGTCAGTCCAGCTGGTTGAGGGCCCTCCTCCCAACCAATGGGACAATGCTATATCCCCGGGGACATTTATATTCCCTCAGGGTGACAAGTTATGATTAAAAAGTTTACATCACTTTGCCCTCTGTTGGTTCTACTATATACATAGATGTATTTACAGCACACAACTGTAGAAAAATCACATGCCAAACCTATGCATGTCCAGCCCCTCTTCTGGACCCTTCTACCACCTTATTCTCAAACATAGAAGTTAAGGAGTTACGTCACACCTTCTCCCAGGGCGGGAGAAGACTGGTGGGAGAAGACTGTCCCGTCCAGTGTTCTGTGTGGCCGACAGACAGGCAAGAAGGAAACCACGAGCTCACCTGGGTGGCGGGCATATCCTTGAAGGGGACGTGGCCATTGGCCAGTTCACAGGCTGTGATTCCCACACTGTAGATGTCAGACTTGGTATCATAACCCTGAAGATTCTAAATAAGGAGGAAAAAAGCCACAGATGACTCAATTTTGCCTTTGTTCTTAGAAAAAGAAGTGGGCAGAGCAAAGACTGAAGAGAAGGAAAGAATGCCTGTCCTCTGATCTGAAGCAGCTGTGGAAGGTTTTGCCTGTGGTGCTGAAGAGCAGCTCTTTTAAAACAAACATGTCTGGTGAGGTTATGTAACAAGCAGAAAGGAATGCTGGCTGCACGCTCCTGTTCAGTACAGAGATCCAGAAAGCAGTTCCAGATGCCCGCCCTCCCCACACAATGGGGAAGATCTCTGCAGGAGCAGAATAGCATCAGGCGTTTTACGGCAATGCGCCAGAGGGTGAGAAGGAACTCTACCTGCAGCGGGCAGCTGATGCCCTCAAGGATACACACTTGAGTACACCTGGTCTACAGGGAGCCCTCCCCAGTCTGAGAAGTGGAGCACGTTTCCATCAATCAACTCCAGAAGGCTCCAAGGGTAGGGGTAGGGAGGGAAGGACAGACAGACAGACAGAGACAGAGAGAGAAGGGCTTCCGGGAGCCAGGCCACAGACCTGCTGGAGGACCTCCGGGCTGAGCCAAGGAAGAACCTTGATACTGTACTTGGGGAAGTCGTGGACTACACGCTGCCGCTGCCCGTGGCTGATCATACTGAGGTTGCTGCGCAAACCGGACAGGTAGACCTTCCCGTCCACAGAGATGAGGATGTGGCTGGCTTTGACACTCCTGGGGAATTAGGACGGTTGTCACACTGCAGCAGGAGCCTCTCCTCATGCCTCAACTTTTGGTCTTTACGTTTTGGCTGAAACACTCTAGGCTGAGAGTGTATGTGACATATTTATGCATGTACATTTTATTTATGTATGTGTGTGTGTGTACACATACAGTACACACACACATATGTACTGATTTTATGAAAAATATTCAGACAAAACCTACCCCCACCCAGTATGACCCCTCTGAAACATCAGATTTAACAACTTTCTATGATAATATGTTCCCTTTTCCGCTCACAGACACCCCTTCCCACTTCCTCTCCTCCTGCTGCAATCTGTGCCTCAGTCAGCAGGTCCCTTGCCAAGCCTGTCACTGCTGTGGATGCAAAGATCTTAAATTTGTCTAGTGGTCCTCTGTTACACATCTAGTTCTTCCTTTTTCTGTTTCAAGATCCATTCGTGTTGCTCTCTCTATACACCTCCTCTTCGCAGCTCCCTGCTGCATTGCGCTCTAGGGTGTGGCTCTAACACCTCACTCGACACTTTCCCAGGGGGACGCTCCTACTGCCTGGTGCCCCACACATGAGCCCGGCATCTCCGTGCATGCTCTCCCCTGAGCTTGTAGAAGGCCACCCCGGGTGTCCAGTGTGAAGACACCAATAGAGCCAGCAGGCTGTGCCCGCCATCTGCACCGGAGACCCTGCTCGCCTCACCTCCTCTGGGCTCATCTGGCTTCCTAATAAAAGTCAGTCGCATTAGTATAAAATGACATCTTGTTTTAACTTGCTTTTCTCTGATTATTGTCATCCTTCTGCTCAGTACAGGGATCTAGAAAGTAGTTCCATGCTCGCTCTACTCATATGATGGGAAGGATCTCGGAAGCGAGCTGAAGTAGCAGCAGGTGTTTCACAGCGAGGCCCTAGAGCAGGGAGAACCTCCACCTGTAACAGGCAGACAATGCACTCGCTCGGGGCTCCCAGGGGCACGTGCATTTGAGTGTCTGATTACCGAACTTCTAGGTTTCTTCTTCCATAAACTTCATACCCTTTGCTCACCTTTTATTGCTGTCCTTTCATATTGAATAGCAAGATTTCCTTGTTACCAGTATGTTTCAGGCAAATACCTTCCTCCAATCCGTCAGTTTATCCGATATTAACTTTGCTCATAGGTCCTTTACTAAAGAGGAAGCTTAGTCTTGAGGTGACCAAATGTACCAATTAATTTGTCACATGTTTTGTCCTTCTCAGATGTATAGAAGCTATTTCATGCCTCCAGTTAGAAGATGATTTCCTCCTACTTTGGTTGACCCATTTAGTTTCCATTCAGGCCCATAATCTGTCTGGGACCCACCTCTGGATGTGGAATCAGGTTGGAATTCAGCTTTATTAATCTCCCTTCAGTTTCCTGTCTCTTGGGCAGAGGACACATTCTGTACTCACACATCAGCCTTGGCACCCCAGGGAAGAAGATGGAGTCAAGGGTTCACGTGAGATGTTCCTTTTATCTCTACCTGGAACCAAGGAGTTTGGTGAACAGAGAAGAGCCTAAATGATCTGTCTACCAAAGAGAGGTGAGGTCAGAGTCCTCACTACAGACTCTGGCTTCACTAGCTTCAGCCAACTTCCAGCAACTTCTCTGTGGGTTCACAGGCACAGAAACTTATTCTAACAAAGGGCAAACAGTCTTCAGATGGTACCTGTGGACGTAGCCCATGTGGTGGATGTAATCCAGGGCCTTCAGCACCCCCTGAAGGATGTAAGCAATGGCCAGCTCGTTCATACCGTCCATGAAGTGTGTACAGATGAGATCCTTGGCAGAACCTGCAACAGAGGAATTGGGCCTGACAGAAGGAGAAAACACACAAGTTCTTAGCATCATCCTTCACTGGTGGGAATCTGGAAGAGGCACTTTCCCACTTACCATATGCCATAAAAGATGTGACGACCCACAGCTCATTGTCTGCAATAAAGGTAGCTCGATATGGCACAATATTGGGATGGTTGAAGAGTTTTGAGACATGAAGCTCCCCCTGAAAGCAATGGGAAGAGGGGAGTCAGAACCAAGCAGCAACGCAGAATGGAGTTTCACATAACAATGGCAGCCCAATGACATGGGATCTAGTGCTCTCTGGGTGCTCTGCTCGGAGCAGCCTCAGAGGGGCCCCTACACTGCCTCACTGGGCCATAGTGTCAGCTCTACAATTTAAATATTGTAAAGCATTTAAAACAGGATTTGGAACATAGGAAGTGCTCAACACACATCAGTTACTATTATAATTAACAGGAGACACTGTCTATAGGTGAGTAAGGGGCACCGGTGGAGCAGGAGGTAAGTGCCCAGCTGCCAACCAAGAAAGTCAGAGCTCTGAATCCACCAGCTGCTCCACAGGAACAGGACGTGGTGATCTGCTTCCGGAGGCTGGTGGCCTTTGAAGCCCAAAAGGGAGGTTCTGCTCTGTCCTAAGGGGCTGCTAGAAGTTGAGAACTCTTTGATGGCAATAGGTGTTTAGTATCAATGAAGAAATGACCCAAAAAGGAGTCTCTGGAGAAGAGAGGGCTGAGCGGCATTATAAAATCCTTGGTACCAAATTCTCAAGATGCTCTGTGGAAAGCTCCTGTAACGTGTGAGCATGTGGTCTCGCCTGCTTTTCCTGCGAGGTATTCCAGAGGATGGATGTGGGGATGCCATGTAATAGCCACCAGACACAGAGCCTGCCTCCGAGTGTCGGAGTCGGGTTACCTGCAAGAAGGTCACCATCTCATTGGAACAAGCTTCTAAGTTAATCCTTCGCACCGTCACGTACTCTCCTGTCGGTTTGTACCTTGCTAGATTCACAGTCATCAGGTCCTCGAAGCCTTTTCCTGAAAGAATAGAGGAACCCAAGAAATACAAACGATGGTTTTCATCTTCCTCAAAAGGAGCTGACGAAAGAAGTCAAGTCAGAGGATTTACAGCTATTACTGTCACAGGTGACCTTTCTTGACTTCTAGCAAGTCCTACTCAGTCAACCATTTTAACCGCCGGAGCCTCAGCAGAACAGAGCGAAAAAGCTTCTCTCCTGGTTGCATGATTTCTTGCCGTACTTGGCCAAAAAAGACCAAATGGACCCCAGAACCTGTTTGGTCAGCACAGATCCCATTAAGTAGCCCATGGTGCACACTGATCAAGAGGCAATGAGGGGAGTACCTATCACGGTGAGGAGCTCATAACACCCTCCCTCTGGCAGGAAGCTGCTCATGATCTCTTGTTTAGAGAAGGATGCTATCGACTCTGAGCTTGCCTCATTGATCTAGAGAAAAAGAAAAAGAGGTTAGTAAGAGTTAGAGGGTGGGAGTGGGGAAGTGGTAATTCAGACCCCTAAGGAGATGGACCTCTACACACACACACACACACACACACACACGGCTCTAGGGCAAAGAAATACTGTCAGAACTATTTAAAGAGAAACATAAAGTAAAACATCAGCTGTTCTATACAGTAACCAGTACTAACATTAGAGCAAATAAGTGTTAGTACTACCTGCACCTAGGAAGACAATGGCCAATTCCATGTAACAAGCTTTGTAAGCTTGTAAGCTTACAAAGGTCAAATAGTAAGTCTTGCTGAAGGAAAAATGTGGCCATAAGAAGTCCCTTCTTTGGCAAAAACCAATCATTCCTGATGTTTCCAGACGAAGGCTGAGAACTCCTGGTGCAGTGAGTCATGGGGGAGGTACGAGCTGTGTGGGTCAGTGCAGTCCTCCAGGCAGGAGCAGTCCCTCAGGCTGTCCATCAAGTCTGGCAATTCAGAGGGTGGAGGTCATACCTCGGGCCTTAGCAAGTGCGGGAAGCAGCCCAGGACAAATTAGTCACTGCTCTCAGCTTAAAAAGCTCGCTTTCTCTCTTTCTGACATAACTCTTCATAAGCTAAGGACTATGAGTCATTTTCTGCCTCTTGGATCCTCTATTCAGGTATGTGTGTAACTGATATGGAGGAACCTTGGATGAGCTCACATTCCATACATCATCCTCATAAATATGACCGCTTGTAAGGAAAGGCTCCTGATTCAGCACTAGTCAGAAGGTGTAATTTGAGAACATCCCGGCAAGCTGATCCTTGAACAAAGACTTCTGCAAAGCAGGGGAGCCCATAAAAATTACCGTGCCACAGCACCGGGCATGTAGCCATCACACAGAGGGCATGTTCATGACCAGGGACAGTCATATGGTGACCATCACCCTAAGTCAGTGAAGCAGGGCAGCTAGCATTTCCATTTTTCAGTGACAAAACTGAGGTTCAAGGAGATACACTGACTTGCCTAAAGTCCATCTTGCAAAAGCACTGCACTGACAGGACTCAGGTCCAAGCCAGTGAAATGAATATGCCATCCCACTGGGAAGCCCTGATGTTTGCTTATCTGGTTTTAGAAGCACCAGCTGATGCTGCAGATAGGGAAATAAACCAAGTCAGGCTCTGCCTTCTTCTCGTCTGTCACTGGTAAGAGAAGCCTTGTTGTAGTTGTTGTTATGTACTGTCAAGTCAAAGCCATCTCAGAGTTGACCCTCCAGTGGCTTTTCAGAGGCAGTAAATTACGTGGGAGGAGACTGCCCATTTTTCTTCCTCAAAGCAGCTGGTAGATTTGAACTGTGTGGTTTTGGGTTTACAGCACAACTTACTACTAGGCTTCCAGGGCTCCCGACGAGAAGTCAAGCAAAAACGAGCTCACTTAGCAATCAAGATCCATTTTTACTTTATAAATTTTAATGCTTATAAAAGTCAGCCATATGCTTGCATTTAGCTATAGTCCACCTATTTTCATAGTTTGTGTAATACTCATTTGGGGAACACTTGATTCTAAGGCTGAGATCTCAGAGAGAACTTGTGAGAGTATGGAAATGGCCAACTTCACGTAATCATGTCATACTGTTTCTGAAGTTGTTATGCCATTTTACATTCTCACTAGCAACTTATATATGTGTTCTTACTGATGATCTGCCTTTTCCTAACACTTGATCTTTTCGGATTTCTTAAAATGCAAAGATAAAGGGGGAAATGGACAAAAAGAGCAGTGATTCGAGGAAAAAAATTAAGAGCTTTAAAACGGTAATTCCTTCTTGTTCAGAATTTACAAGCTGAGTGCCAGTTAAGTCTTGGAGAGTCCCCAAAAGCTTAATCTTATGCCTCAAGCCCCTAACACATTCTTGTTTTGCAAGACCCTGTTTTTTTACATATCAATTTACTCAGTAACATCAGAGTCACCAGTGAGTACAAAACTCAGAGCTGCTTTCCGATCCAAACTTACTATCCTGGCCTTTGGGGACTGACATGACTTGGCTTCTGCCTGCCTCTGTGACCCGACCCCATGCCCCTCTCCCCTCACTCACTATCCTTTACCAACACAAAAGACACACTCTGGAATCTGTGCTTTGTCCCTCTGTTGGGAATATGCCAGTCCCACTCCTCCTCATTCCACTTTCTCATCACTGAGGTCTAAAATGTTAACTCTTAGAAAAAGAATCTTCTCCACCAAATTAAAGTAGACTCCTCAAGCAGCAACACTGAGAGATGCTATGGACAAAATCGTGAATGATTAATGAAACATCAAAGAAGACAGAAGCTGAAGACACAAGTCACAGAGCCAAAAAGAACTGGTCAACACAGAAATATCTCAGGGAATATCATAGGATCAAGAGCCAATAGTAATGAAGGAAGACGTTCATGCTGTACTGAAGGCACTGGCAAAAAATAAGGTCCCAGGAATCAATGGGATACTAACTGACATGTTTCAACTAACAGGTGCCACTCTGGATGTGCTCATTAGTTTCTGCTAGGAAATTTGGAGGACAGCTGCTTGGCCAATTGATTGGAAGAGATTCATATTCCTATTCCAACAAAAGATGATCCAACAGAATGTGGAAATTATTGAATGATATCACTACTATCACATGCAAGCAAAATATTGCTAAAGATCATCCAAAAATGGCTTAGAATAGTACAGTGACAGGGAATAGCTAGAGGTTCAAGCTGGGTTTAGAAGAGGCTGTGGCACTAGAGATATTATTAGTAATGTCACATGGATCCTGGCAGAAAGTAAAGAATACAGAATATCTATTTGTGCTTTATTGATCAGGCAGACATGTGACTGTGTGGATCATAACAAGTTATGGCTAACACTGAGAAGAATGAGAATCCAAGAACACTTAATTATGCTCATATGAAATCTAGACCTAGACCAAAGTAGTCAAAAAAAGTGAAGGAACACTGTTAGAATTAAGAAAGATGTGTATCAGGCCCATGTCCTTTCCCCATATCTACTCATCAAATGAGCAAGTCATTTGAGAAGCTGGACTCTGAAGAAGAATGTGGCACTGAGATTTGATGAAGACTCATCAATAACCTGCATTATGCAGACAACACAAGCTTGCTTACTGAAGGTGAGGAGGACTTAAAACACTTGTTTAAGGAGATCAAAGACTACAGTCTTCATGGACTACATTTCAACATGAAGAAAACAAAAACCCTTACCATTGGACCAATAGGCAACATCATGATAGAAAAAAGACTGACTCTGTCAATGATTTCATCTTACTTGGATTCACAGTTAACACCTTTGGTACCTGCAGGAGATCAGGAGACATATTGCAGTGGAGAAGTCTATTATCTGGGACCACTCCAAATTAATGAGGAGTAATGACATCAATTTAAAGTCTGTCTGATTCACGCCATGGTCTTTTTTGATCACTTGCTATATATATATATGAGATCTGGACAATGAATAAGGATTACAGTAGATGCTTTTGAGCTGTAGTGTTGGAGAAGAGTATTGAATATCCCACTGACTGCCAAAAGAACAAGCAGGTATGTCCTGGAGAAGGTGCAGCCAGAATGCTTCTTGGAGGTAAGGCTGGAGAAGCTTTGTCTCATATACTTTGGGCTTGTTGCTAGGAGAGGCTCTGTCTTGGAGAGGGATAGCAAGCTTGGAAAGGTGGAGGGACAGTGAGTGAAAGGGAGGAAGACCCTCAACAAGATGGACTGACACAGTGACTGACTGCAACAATGGGCTCAAGTATCCCAGAGATGATGACGATGGCTCAAGAAAGGACAGGGTTCAAATCTGTTGTTTATTGCTATGAGTCACACTTGATTTGATGATACTTAATAATGACAGCAGTCACTCTATGACACTTCCTTGCTTCCTGGTTGTTATCATTGCAGTTTCCTTATCTGTTGTCTACTTCCTCCATTAGAATGCAAGCATATGTATGGACTTCCCCATATGAAGTTGCTTTGTTAAAATAAAATAAAATGTTAAAATACCTTAGCTCTAAGAGAGATGCAATTCAAAACAAATATGAGAGAAAATCTCACACCAGTAACAATAGCAAAGTTCAACAGAGCAGCAAACATCAAATGCTGGTGAGGCTGTGGAGAAGTTGGAGCACTTATTATTCACTGTTGGTGGGAGTGTAAAATGGTGTAACCACTCCAGAAGGCAGTAGGGAGATTCTCAAAAAATTGGAAATAGAAATACTATTTGATCCAACAATTGCACTATACCCTAAAGAAACCAGAACTGTAACCCCAACAGACATATGCATACCCATGTTCATTGCTGCCTTGTTCACAATAGCAAAGAAATGGAAGCATCACAAGTGCCCATCAACAAATGAATGGATAGAGAAACCGTGGTACAGTCACACGATGGAATACTATGCAGCACTGAAAAACCAGGAATTCATGAAATATTCTACAAAATGGGTGACCCTGGAGGACATTATGCTGAGTGAAATATCTCAGGGAAAAAAGGACAAATACTGTATACTGCCACTGTCATAAAACAATACTAACATGGGGAGTAGGAGGAAACTAAGAAAAGAGGGAATAAATAATGAACACTACATATAAATAGATGAGGGAAAGAACTGTCTAAAAGAAATATATGATTAGGTATTATTTGTATGACAATAGTCCAGATTAAGAGGTGCATAGCAAAGTGGACTGAGGTAGAGGTAGGGAGGAAATTGTGCAACAATGAAAGAATCTTTTTAAAAAGAGAAAAGCGAATTGGGGGGTAAAGTAAGGACAAAAATATGCAACAATGAATGACTAGAAATCCAAGATTTCTGTAAACTTTCATTAAAATATCAATTAAAAGTGTTTTTTTTAAAAAAGGAAATTATTAACATGTGATTGGGCAATGCAAAAAGTGATGTTTTTCAAGCAATGGCAATGTATCTGTTAGAATTATGTTCAAATATTTGGTGGAAGGTAGGATTTGTAAGTGATGAACTTCTTTATTTGGTTGTGACTTCTGAGCAAGATCATCTTAAGGAAGCCACATGGTTTCTTGTTGATTTTAGTAAAATAGGAGAGGAAGACGATGGGCTTGACAATGAGTTGTGATGGGCTGACACAGTGACTGCAATTATGTGCTCAGACAGAGGCTAGCACGGGACTACATGATGTTTTGTTCTGTTACACAGCAGGTCTTTATAACAAGAAACTAACTTGATGGTATTTAATGATATCCTTGTGGAAGCAATCCTATTTACCAATAGAGTTTTCTTTACTGTGTTAATGAGGTCCTATCAGTGGAGAGAGAAAGAAGAGAAGAGGAGAGGAGGGGAGAGGACAGGAGAGGGCGCGCGCGGAGGGAGGTTGGGTTTAACAGGGTGTGGCGTAAAACTAAAAGAAAAAAACAAAACCCTTAAATTCATTGCCATCAAGTTGGAACTTACTCACAGCTGACCCTCCAGTGGGTTTTTAGAGGCTGTTAATAAAATGGGAGCCGACTGCCCATCTTTCTCCTGTGCGACCACCGGTGGATTAGAAACCCCAGAAAGGTACCACCTTAGGGTTAGTTCACTCAGAGCCCCACCAGAGCACCCTAGAGTGTTCTCCAAGCCTCTGTGAGATTAACCAAGCTGATTAGGCAAAGAGGAGGCAGCTGCGATGGAAAAAGGACCACATGTCCAAGCACATGAAGACTGTCCAGGAGCAGAAACACAGAAGAGGCGAGGGCCTTCATTTTGAGCCCACACAGAGGAAAAGCTTTTCCCTGACAGCCCGTGCCCTGAATCTGGACTTGGAGCCTCATAAACTTGAGAAGATAAATTTGTTAAAGCCACCAACTGTTGTATTCCTGTTATAGCAACACTAGAAAACTAATTCTTCAAAAAAGATCATCTAAGCCATCATAGCTGTCACTGCCAACAAGAGTGCCTGGTCAGGGAACGATTTGCTGACTACTGATATGGCTAGTTAGCAGTCTGATAAACATTCCTACTACCTCTGTTGAGTATGGCTAACTAGTAAAAAATGTTGTTGTTAGGGAGCTCTGGTGGCCTAGTGGCAAGAAGGTGCACTGCAATCCCAGAGCTGCGCAGTACGAATCCACCAGATGCTCTGCTGGAGAAGGAGGGGCAATCTCCTCCTGTACCAGTCAGATCTGATTTGATGATACATGCACAAAAATTAATAAAATAAAAGTTAAAAAAGATGTTGTTGTTGTTATGTGCTGTCGAGTTGCTTGCGACTGCTAGAAAAAACCTTTCTTTAGGCAATGGGGAATATAAATTCATGGGCAATCTGGAACGCATGACACAAACTAGTGGTTGCAGTGGTTCCTCTGCCACTATGTCCCCAGTGCACTGGAAATGATTCTAAAAGAGAAGCTTCCTACTTGGTGAATCTCCTATGTGAGTGAACTCACTATTTATTCAGTGTAAGTCTCTGCTGCTCACCTAAAATTTTTGCTAAGGGGGATTTTAAGTGGAAAAAAGTGAACTTTTCAGAGATGTTTCTTTTAAATGGTAATAGTAAAATAACAATACAGGCACAAGTTATTAAGTTATTAAAATTTCCAGCATCTGACAAATGCAACATGAAATATTTTCAGACAACTTTTTTTTGTTTTCTTTGTTTTTGTTTTTTTTTCTTTTTTCTATTAGACAACATTTTGAAAGGGGTAGGTCTGGTTTGATATTGCCACAGAAAAGCAGGTCAATTCGTGATATTGTCTCAGATTTAAAAGTGAAAATTCCTGGGGGGAAAAAATAAGTAGCCTGTTCTCTTTACACACATTATGGCATAGTTTTATTAGCACAATATATAATCTCAATATTGTGTTGAGAAGAAACAACCCTCATTCTACTGAAGTCTTTTTTCTTAGCTTCCCCACTCAAAAAGAGTATTTTGTACTTTATCCAATTTGAAGCATTTGAAAATATGTAAGCTAGTGATACCCAGAAATAATGATAAAAATAACTTTAAAGAGTTCAAGAAAAAATAAAGCATACAAAACAAGTATTTATGAAATGATACCAAATAAACACATTCAAACTCCCACAGGTTTCACCTAGGATAACTTTTGTTGTAATGTTAGTAGCTATGTTAATATAAAATATTACATAATTGGCATATTACAGAAAAATAGACAACTGTGTAGGAAACTTTGTTGTTGTGGATCGTGGAGTCAGAACCCATTTAAAGCTACCCATCCTTCTGTTGAAAAGCTATGAATTTGAACCACATGCTTTTGGACTGGCAGTGCAACTCTGTGGCACTAAGCCACCAGAGTGGTCCCTTAATTGTAAAATACTTTCATCTCATAGACAGGGGCTCCTGCAAGCATAGCAACCACCCTCATCAACCCATCATCCTTCATTCATCTTTAAGGCTGCCAGCAAAAAACACGAATGTCTGTTCATCTGAAAAGAGCAGAATGTTTCTTCAGACAAATGTTCTGTCTCTCTTTATAAGACACTGACTCACATTATTAAAAATCAGCTAGGTTTCTAAATGTGCATGATGGGTTTCAATGATTTAGGTAAAACAGACTAGAAGGGCAGGAAGCAGGGCAAGAGTCTTGCCATTTTGCCAATGAAAAAGATAAATTTCACTATGGTGTTTCAGTTATTAAAAAATAGCTTTAGTTCTGGCTTTGAGGTGGGGAATCTCTGTGGATTGAAAGAAATTACTAATAGATTAAGTAGCATCAGGAACTATAACCACTTTCAGACTGTTGAAATCCACTTTCTTTTGGAGAAGTGAGGGGTAAGATTATAGAATATGGAAGGAAGAAGAGAGATGTCAAGTCCCTGAAGAGAGATATTAAATCCAGGAGACTTTTCTGGTTTCAAACTATACAACAAATTTTATCCAGGGTGAAACCTGAATTTTCACAAATAAAAGAATCACACTACAAATACAGCTCAATGACAGACAAGCAGAAACACAAAATTACCAGCCAACAAAACAAACAAATTCCATAAAACATCATCTCCATGCAACAGCCACAGAGCTAGAACCTAGAAAGTTCACTTACTTTTCTCCGAGCGTCACCCGGAGGCTGCTCTGGAGTAGAGAAATTGATTGTTGGCATTTTGTGGTTTGGGTTTTTTTTTCTTAGCCGAAGACATATCCACATTTAGAATGGCAACTATTGTACTTAGACTACTTTTATTAATAAAAACTACTTTAGAGTAATAACAGCAAAAGATGCCTGTGATACTACATATAAAAACATACACATACACACACAGATCCAACACTAAAAATGTTGAGGTTTTAAATGGGACTGTAAGGCGGTTTACAACTTGGCAAGGCTACTCTTCTGCATATTCCCTACTCAGTATAACTCAACTGCTACAGTTTCAGTTATATTCACTTTTCATGAGCACATATTACTGCTGTCAGTACACCAGTTGCAGGAACAAAATACTCATTATCAAATTAAGACACTCAAATGGAAAAAAAATATTAAATTGAACACTTTCAAAAATAAATAATGTTGAGAGATGGCCATTTCCTAGGGAGCACAGGGACCAAAAATTGGGTTTAAAAAAAAAACAAAACTGGAAAAATTTTGAATACAGTAACACTTTCAGGAGAAACACTTTGATTCTTCAGTTAGATACATTCTATTGTGAGTGCAAATAAAGCCTGAGGCTTCTTTATTTTGGCACCTCTTAGTTAAAATGAACAAAGGACAGCTCCCGGAGTTTTTTTACTCTTAAATCAGTCAAATTTTGAATCTGTGATTTTTTTTCCTTTCTCCTTTCTGGAGAAATTATCCATGGTCAAAATTATCTATGAAGATGACTTTTAATTAATTATAAAGTATTGAGGTGTTATTAGGCACTTTCAAATACCTTAAATTATATAGTCCTGAACATTTTATATAAAATCATAGCTTTACATATAGTCACCAAGAAAAATGCTTTCTTTGAGGTACATTTAGAGCACCCGCTGTATTATTAAAGAAGAGAGGAAGAATGGAGTCAATTGGCATCAACATAGAATTTTTTTTTTCTTTGAGCATTAATTTTCCGGTATACAAATGGCAGGAGCAAGTGACAATTTGTCAAAGTTAAGAAGCCAGGTAACTAGAGTAATGAAAATCTACCCATCTCTTCTAGAGTACAAGGAAATTTTTAAATTGCTTAAGCCTAAATAATAGAGATTTTAGCAAGCTATAAACATTATAGGAAAGATGTCATCATGTTTCTTATATCAGAAATTAGCCCACTGTCAAAGACAGCTCTAAAGTTTCTCCATTCAAGACATTGAAGCCAACTTATTTAATTCACATACACTGTACTATATTTGTAACTTATTCACTATGACCTAGACTTCCCAGTTAATGCTCATTGTCAATGTTTGCTTTCAAACTATTTTATTCTCACAAATGATAAGAGAATTAAAACAGTACCACAATATAGTATTTCTGTCCCATTTGCCCTTTCTTTACCAGGCAGGTAGTTTTTACTATTTACAACTAGAAGAAAAAAAATTTCATGGACTTTTTTTTTTTTAATTTTTAATTTCATGGTTTTTAAAAATCATTTTGGCTATAAACTGTATGGAAACAGATTGCCAAGTCTTAGTTTTTTGGGGTCTCCCCCCTTTGATGAGTTTGAACCATCAATATTTCAATTAACATCTGAGTCTGAACCATCTGTGATAATTAGGGTCCTTATCTGGGGGTTCTTTTATATCAGCCAATGCCTTCAATCTGGCAACCTAATTTCTTTAGGGTATAAAATCCAAAGGACAGAGGATCTTGGTTCACAAATATAAAGACTAGGCTCCTACAACTATTAACTTTATACAAAGAAATTTCTTTGCCTGAAATTAAGATCACAATCCCTCAAAAAAGGCTCCTTTAAAAATGGCCGTAGAAGTACATCTAAGCCCTGTTAAACCTCAAAGCTGCAAATCTATTTCTCTTCTAAAACCAACATTTAAACATATTTTATAACAAGGATTTTATATTTTTGCCCTGACAGATATCTTAGTTCTCTTAAGTCTTATTAGTTCTACCATGAAAAGATGATTCAATGAGATTGATCAGGACACCAGAATCTTTATACATCACTGCTACCTTACTCCTGTCTGTGAAGTCTTCAAGACTGGACACTTTTGAATCCCAGGCATCAAAAAAGATCCAAATAAATCCAACAACTACAGTTTACACAAGCTCTTGGAATGACTAATTTCTAGAAAGTGATTTAGTAAAAACAGAGTAGTGACAGTTATCCTGAAATAATGGCTAAATGCCATACTGTACTTACCTCCAAACAGTTCCAAATCTCTTAAGCCCTCAACAATGAACTTTTCCGAGACCCACCGCTAAAGAGGAAAACCCCAAAGAGTATTAGTATTTCTCCTGAGTTAGAGAAAATTAGACATTACCTATTAGACAGACAGACAAGAACACAATGACAAAACCAGGTCACATGATACAGTTAAGATGAAAACTAGGAAAATAATCTTGGGAGTTAAATCTTGGAGAAAATGGTATTGTCTTTATGCCTTTTTGCCTAATTTCAATCTTAATTAATCTGACAGGTAAGTAACAAGCGGTGCAAGCACATTTCTGTGTTATTGGCTTGGTTCTAGGCCATTGAAAGAAACTGAGTCACACAAGTGAAAACCATGTGTTCACTCCACTGTAGTCTAGTAAGTGAACAACTGTTGTGTACCATCGAGGTGGAATGGATTCATAGCTGGTCCTCCAGTGGGTTTTCAGAGGCACTAAATCACACGAGAGAAGACTATCCATCCTTATGGATGCTCCTATGGAGCAGCTGGTGGATTCTAACCACATGCCTTTGGATGGCAGCACAGCTCTTTACCACTAGGCCACCATGAAAATGTGGGAAGTATTGTGGAAACTACCAAAACGGATAGACATGAAGTGAGTGCACAATGCTGGAGAAATGGTGGCAACAGAGTGCTAGGTGCAGAGTTGCTATGGACTTTCAATTTGTAAAAACCACAATATACATAAAACACCACAGAGCAAATCATGGTAAAACCAGGCATGCCTGTACTAACCCTAAAAGCACAGGACGTCTTAATCCTTCCTAGATATAAGAACACTACCTTTTGGTTCCATCTCACTCATTCAATGGCGATCCACTAGAGATGCTTTGAATCCTTAACACTGAATTGGAAAATAATTAGAATTCACAATACAGAAAACAGGTATGAATATGAATTTTTCACAAGTCACTATTAGTCTGTAAAAGGAAGCACAGCAAGCTGTATACACTTCCATTCATTAGAATTCCCAAAGACATGATCACTTAAATTTTCTACTAGGTTTGAATATGTGGACCAAACAGGCCTGGCCAACCTCCGGCTCACTTTACTGGCCTTTTTCAGATGGGGATTAGATTTCCATCCAACTGATTAGTGCTTTGCTTTTACCAAAATAAGACTAGGCTGAAACAGAAAAGCAGCTCATCCTTAAAAACAATGGAATCAAGATTGTATTTCACTAAATTCTGGTGTTAAAATTTCGCCTGGAGACATTCTTTACACTGTGCAAGGTTCAGGATAAGAAGAGGTTCAGTTTTTCCTCTTAGTTTACAGCAGAGTTTACACTTTTCAATAAAAACTCTTCATACACACACATATAAAAAGATAAGATTACTTGATATTCAGAAATAAGTTGCATAGCATAAATTGTGAAATGGAATTGTAACATTACTTTTTTTCTGTATCACTTCATTTCTATGTCAATTTTTTCAAAATTAGAAAATAAATAACACTCTAAAATTTTTTAAATTATGTATAAAAATCATATATGCCATATTACAAAATATAATATAATACTGGAGAAGAGTGGCACACTTAAAATGTCTCATAATATACAAAATTACAAATGTCTGAAATAATTACTGTACTTAGAAATTAAGTATTTGATTATAAACAAAATAAGGTGGCCTTTTAAGAAATCTAGGAACTTTCAGAGGAACTAAATGTAGTATTTCTCTTGAGATAATTTTAGTGGATAAAAATGTGAGGTATAATGAAATTTTTCACATTCAAAAAATCTTCAAATAATACCTATAATTACATTTAGAAAAAAGTGGTTTGGTGATGACAATTTGATAATGATTTTAAAAACATACAAACCCTAAAAAAAATAAATAAATAAAAGCATACACAGTCTTTAGACATGAGGTTGTAAAGAAGTCAATCACAAAAGAACAAATGTTTTAACATATGATTCACACAGTAAGTGATAAGAAAAGGCAAGTGTACAGTGATCCAATTTTATTTGTTGTTACCAAGGGCCAAAGAGAAGGGGCTAATGATAATGGGGGGAAATGGCACTGATTAATAATTAAGGACAGAGTTTCACAGGTGATTACTGTAATTACTATCAACTGAGCTGTACAACTGTAAAAAGTTGAACTGGCAAGAGTTGTGTCATATACTTAGAAAGATAACAACAACAAAAAAAGTAGCTGCTGAGGCTGCTTATAGCCAACCAAACACCTCCTGAGATTGAATTCCTTCATTTAGGGTCATGGTTTCATGAACTATCTCAATTAACAGGCTTAATGTTTCGGGCTTCTATTCTACCTCTTAGTTTATTTTGTAGTACCCAGAGACTTAAGAGCTTGCAACTAGCCACCCAATGCACAACAGTTGGTCTCTATTCATAAGAGAGGAAGAAGGAGCATTAGAACAGGACAAGAATGTGGCATGTGTGGCTTATTGCTTCCATGAGCAACTGTTTCCTCTGCCACGAGACCAGAATAACTGCATGGTGTCTGGCTACCATTACTGAAGAATCACAATCAAAAGGGGGACAATGCAGAACAAATTTAAAAATTCTCTGGACTCTGTAGACATTCTGGCACCCTGGAGGCTGGGATAATCTTTAAACCTTAAACCAAAAATATCCCCTAATGTCTTCTTAAGCCCTAATTATTATGCTCTTGTAAGATCTGGATGAGATTCAACTGACAACAGCAAGTTCAAAGATTAGATAGGAATTTGAGGGCAGTTTATGTTACTGAGGGAAGATCTAGGGGTGGGGGTTGGGGGAAGGTCTGAGGAGTGGAGACTGCACCACCTGCTTTTCTTTCTACATCTCTCACTTCTGTAAGATTCTAAGCATAATGTAAAAAACCATTTACAGTATCTTCAAAACATCACTTTTCAGAAAACAAAGTCAGAAGAAGAGAAACACTCACCCTAATTCGTTCTGGTTTACTTACAAGAAAAGACATGAGTTCCTAATGTGTAGACCTACTTCAATTTCAAAAATTTAAACCTAAAAGGAAAGCAGAAAAAAAGGTGAATTAGTTAAGGCTCTTTATTATATTGACCACAACTTACTTAGGGTTCTACTATTAAAAAGCAAGAGTATCAGACCTGTAAATTACTTCCTCTCTCCCTTTCTCCTCCTGCCATCTAGTCAGAACAGGCTCATAGCTGGGCCTCTGCTGGATTTCCAAGGCTGTGAATCTCCCAGGAAGGGATTGTTCATCTTTTTCCTATGGAGCTGCTAACCACCACCGAGGTATGGCATTTGGGTTAGCAGTGCAACTCCCTACAAACTAGGCCATGACCGTCCTTATAAATTACTAGAGTTTAAACACCATTTACACAAACTTTCATCGATGATGCACCTAGAGAGAGTTTAGTCAACTATATTCTCAAATTTCTTTTTTTAAAAAAAACTTGTTAATTTTAATTAAAGTTTACAGAGACTTTAGATTTCCATTCATTTACTGTTGCACTTTTCTCCTTGCCCAACCTCCCCTGTTCTGCAATTTCTATAAGACAGTTTATTACATTATTTTATCTGTAAGTTTTGAATTTAAAGTGATATGCACATATATTTAAATTGTCAAGTAGTATTGAAGAGCTTGCACTAAGAACCTGTAGTCCCATTATCCACCGCTCCCTTTCCAGAAGCAACTGCCTTCTGGTCTCTGGCTGTGTTTTCCTGCATTTTATCACTAACATTCTTAAATATTTATATCACCACTGATATTATTAATTTTAGACATTTGTCTATTGACTTTCTACTAGGGTACATGAAATTCCAAGTTCTCTTCCACCACTACTTACTTTCCCTCTCCTCGGCCTCTCAACACAGTTGTGGTATAATATTTGGTTAAATCAATAGTATATGTTTATATTACCATGAATTTTACTATGAAAGGATAGAGATGAGGATAAGAATATACAAATATACAAGCTGATTAAAAAAACTACAGGTTATTCTGAAAGGCCTCCAATTAGGAGATTGTCTCTTTAGATTAAGATACGTTGTTTAGATTTCTTTTAACAATTACAAGGATTCTTAGAACTCTATGCTCCATATTAGGCCTCTTCCCTTATTACTTTGCCACTACCACACCCCTGACAACTCTAATTCTTCCTCAGAAAAAATGATGGGGGAAGTTAGTGGCAGATTTTTTCCTAGATGCTTCAAAAGCAGTCTGGTATTTAGCCATTCTGGTGGGTGTGTACTGGCACCTCATTGTGGTTTTAATGACAAGGTATCATTTCACTTGCTTATTGGCCACTCCTATATGTTCTGTTGTGATGTGTCTGTCTGTCCAAATCGCTTGCACATTTACTAATTTGAATCTTATGTATCGTTGCATTGTAGGAGTTCTTTAGATATCCTGTGCATTATCACTTTGCAGACTCTGCCTTACATTTTTCTGTAGTAATAAGTCATAGCTATGAGTGCAAGACCTATTGAGTCAATTACTGAGACCTGAGAGTGGTCTTTGGGTTCCTGAGAATGTCGATCTTTTTTCCATCTATAATGATGCTGCCTACGGGTCCGGGGGTGAAGATTTTTGTTTTCTTGATGTAATCCATACTCAAGGCTGCAGTTCTGGATCTTCTGCAGCAAGTGACTCAAGTCGTCTTCACTTTCAACAAGTAAGGTTGTGTCATCTACAAAATGTACCTACAAAAGGTGTTGGATGAGCCTTCCTCCTTCACATAGTCCAGTTCTGGAACGGTTTGCTCAGCAGACAGATCAAACAATGTGGAGAAATGATACAACCTTGATGCACACTTTTCCTGATTTTAAACCATGCTGAAACTTCCTCTCACATACTTTGAGCATGTCTGTCAGAAGGCGCCAGTTCTTGGGAAAATACATCATGCTGGGAAAGGCAGAGCAAAGGAGAGGATGACCCTCAACAAGATGGACTGACAATGACTTTACCAATGGGCTCGAATGTGTTGGAAATCACGAAGATGGCACAGGATAGGGCAAGGTTTTCTTTGTTGCTCAGAGTCACTATGAATCACAGTTGATTCGATGGCACCTGCCAATAACAGTACGGAAAAGTTAAGGAACCCTGGTCATGCAGTAATCAAAGCACATGATTGCTAACTGCAAGGTCATCAGGCCAAGCTCTTCAGGCATTATGAAGGAAAAAAAGATGAGGCAATTTGTTTCTACAAAGATTTACAGCCTTGGGAACCCTGTGGATCAGTTCTACTCTGTCCTACTGGGTGCCAGGAGTCACAATGATTAGATGACAGCAGCTTCGATTTGGTTTTGTCTATCATAGTCACCCTGTGTAAAACAGTTCTAAACCCTTCTCCATGCTGAACCAACCTTCTTGTCTCTGACACACCTATCTTCATTACCCTAATCACTGAATCAATCCATCTTATTGAGGATTGTCCTTTCTTATACTGTCCCTCCATCCTCCCAAGCATGACAACCCTCACCTTGCACATGCCCAAACTATGTCAGACGAAGCTTCACAATCCTTGCCTTCAAGGAGCAGCCTGGTTTCACCCTCTCCAGGGCAAACCTGTTTATTCTTCTAGCAGTCCATGGTATAGTCAACTAAACAAATAGTAAGAACAACTGAGAAGACTGAGGGGCACTGAGAGTAATCTGAAGTCACAGAAATTTAAACTTAAGGGGTGCAATACGATGTCATGGGAAAAAAAGCACCAGTTGTGAAGCCAGACAGGCCTGGCATAAACCTCAGCTCTCATTCTTGCATCTGTGTTAACCTGATCAAGTTACTTGGGTTCTCCGTATCTTGAGTTTAAAATCTCTGAACAAGGTTAATGCCACCCCATCACCTCACCCACCCCAGGAAATGGTTATCCTTCTCCTTTCAGGTAGAGAGCCTTGTAACAATCCATTATGTTTCTAGAACAGACCTTGAAATTAGGTTTCTTAGAGATTTAAAAATAGAAATCTCAGGCTTTGATATGAAATTTTAACCTGCATACAAGAATTTATTTTATCATCAAAGCAAAGCGGTGGAAAAAAAAAATAAGTCTGTATCCAGGAATAGAAAAAAGGGGGCCTTTAGTACATAAAATTGCAACATATCTAGGAGCTAAAAAGTTGAGAGAAGAGTGTAGTTCCATGAATTAGAGGGGAATATATAGCAGACCAGTGTGTGGAAAGGATATTATAGCAGTGGATGTGGGCAGACATGCCCAGGAGACGAACAAACCCAAGAAACTCCGAGTCAAGACTGTAGCAACCAGGATTAAGGAAGGACGAAGTAGGGCTAAATAAGACCCAGCATCACTGCTTGCTTCAGCCCACTAAGCCAAAAGGTACTTACACCTGTCAGCTGAATAGTCCTAGTTGCCTGAGAGGTACAAAGAGCTCCCTGTCAGCTCTTATATTTCCTTATATCATGCTTGGAAGTGTGGAGGGTCAGCAAAAGAGAGGAAGACCTCAATCGAGATGGACTGACAGCAGTGGGCTCAAATGTATCAGACATAGTGAGGATGGCCCAGGGTAGGACGGGATTCAGGTCTGCTGTTCTGAAGGTTGCTATGAGTCCTACTCGACTGGATATCACTTAACAACATTCTTTTTTTTTTAAATTTTTGTGTGAGTGTACCATCAAAACAGATCTGACTGGTACAGGAGGAGATTGTCCCTCCTTTTCCCGGCAGAGCATCTGGTGGATTCGAACCATGTGCCTCTGGGATTGTAGTTGCAGCTCCTTGCCACTAGACCACCAGAGCTCCCCCTACAACAATATTCTTAACTCTAGTGGCCTGGCAGTAAGAACTAGCACTGCAATCCCAAAGGCAAGCAGTTCAAATCCACTAGCTGCTCTGTAGGAGAAGGATGGGCAATCTCCTTCTGTGCAATTTACTGCCTCTGAAAACCCATGGCTGATGGAAGATCAGCTATGGGTCGGTTCCAACTTGATAGTCACAACAAAAACATACAAGTCAGAGAAGTCTGGTGGCATAGTCCATAGCAAGTTCCACTGGTAACCCAATGGCTACTTTACCTAGCAGTTCAAATCCACCAGTGGCTCTGTAGGACGAGGATGGGCAGTCTCCCACTGTTGCCATGTACAGGCTCAGAAGCCTGACGGAGGGGCACTGTTAGAACAGACTCTGCTCTGTAAGTGAATGATATAAAAATGAATAGTGGGGAGCTCTGGTGGCCTAGAGGCAAGAAGCTGCACTGCAATCCCAGAGGTATGAGGTTCGAATCCACCAGATCCTCTGCTGGAGAAGGAGGGACAATATCCTCCTGCACCAGTCAGATCCGATTTGACAGTACACACACACACACAAAGAATAGTGAAGATAATGACTTTAAGTGAAGCATATAAAACATTATGCTAATTGCATGGGAGGGGATTGCTCATCCTTCCTCACAGAGTGGCTGGTGGATTCAAACCCTGTGCCTTCGGAATTGCAGCACAGCTTCTTAGCACTAGGCCACCAGAGCTTCCTAGAGCATACATACACTAACCTTACAGAAAAGCCAGTCACTGAGAAAACAGAGAAGAGTAGTGAAGGAAAAACCAAACCAACAAACCTAACCCCCTAATTTTTCCAAGGATTCCAGAAAATTCCTTTAAATTCCTCCATTTAAAAATAATTCAGAAAGCAAGAAATAATTCTCAAAATTATAATAGTAAATAAAACCAAAGAAATCTCCAAAATTACAAGCAAAATTACAGAGATAAAAAATATTAGAAAAAAAAATCCCAAAACTATGAGGCAAAGAGGATCAAATAATGGGACAGAATTTCTCTCAGGAATACTGTAAAAATAGAGACTTCTGGCTACTCAGTAGTAAGGAGATGTGCTGCCAATTCAATGGTATTTGGTTTCAATCTACTCCCTGCTTTTCAGGAGAAAAGATGGGCAATCTCTTCCCATGAGATTTCCAGCCCCTGAAAACCTACTGAAGGGCCAATTATGAGTCAGTTCCGACAGCACATAATAATATAAGAATATAAAA